GCTGCTGCTGCTGCTGCTGCTGCTGTCTTTGTCTTTATCTTTATCTTCTTCTTTTGTGTCAGCAGCAACTCCTCTACTCATCTTATCTGAACCAGAACCAGCATCACCAGCAGCAGCAGCAGCAGCAGCAGCAGCAGCAGCAGCAGGTGCAGCAGCAGAGCCCTGCTGCGCTGCTGTTGCTTCTGCTGCTCCCTCAATTCTCTCTGATACTTTCTGCAGCAAATCCTTAAACCCTGGAGACGACTGAACACAGCAACAAACACAACACATCAGAGCCAACCTCGCTGCATGCATGCATGCGTGCATGCATGCATGCTATCTAGTCGGGGCTGGCTAGCCGGCTAGCTAGCTAGCTAGCTAGCTAGCTAGCTAGTTAGCTCACGTGTGCCAAAGTCTCCGCCAGTGTTGTAAGAGACTTTGAAATGTTCGAATGGATTGCCTGCACACAGATGCAAACACAATTTAGCTAGCTGCTAGCTAGCTAGCTAGCTAGCTAGTCAGCTAGCTAGCTATCCTCCCCCCCCCACACACACACACGTACACCGCAACCAGCCCCACTACGACCCCATATACACCCCTCTAGATGTATACACGGAGAGCATCCACGCAGCTCACAGGTGTAAAGGCAACTCACCTAGCTAGCTAGCTAGCTAGCTAGCTAGCTAGCTAGCTAGCTAGCTAGCTAGCTATGTGTGCATGCATTCGTTCTTACCCCTATAGGATTTGCGTCATCTGTATTGTGTTTGTTTGTTTGTTGTGATTTGTTTGTTGGTGGCGTTTCTGTATTTTTTGCTGCTGCATGCGTTTTATATTTTTGGTTTAGGGTTTTGTCTTTTGTTAGTTTATCTAAAAGTGCTGCTGCTGCTTTTCCAGGTGTATTGACATCTAAACTGTTTAATATAGACTTCATCAGGGAACGCAGATCCCCAATACCTGAACATAAAAAAAAAATATATATATATATATATATATATATATATATATATATATATATATATATATATA